CATAAATTGATGACAGAGAGATAGCTAGGAAGTTCTCTAATACTTTGAAATTTAAAAACATTCCTGTAATAGCATATGGGTCAAAATGAAGTCTCTTGGTAAATTAAAAATTATTTTGAACCAAGTTCAAATGACAGTAGAACTAAATCATAATTGTAGATATAGCAAAATTACTGCTAAGGAAGCAATTTATAGCATCAAATGTACATATTAGTAAAGAAAAAAGACATAAAATAAAATTGACAATATAAACCTCCACCATAGGAAAAGAGATAAGAAAGATTCAGTCTAAAGCAAGCAAAAGACATAAATAACGGAAATTAGAAAAAAAAATTGATGGTGGGACTGTAAACTAGTTCAACCATTGTGGAAGACAGTGTGGCAATTCCTCAAGGATCTAGAAGTAGAAATACTATTTGACCCAGCCATCCCATTACTGGGTATATACCCAAAGGATTATAAATCATGCTGCTATAAAAACACATGCATACCCATGTTTATTGCGGCACTATTCACAATAGCAAAGACTTGGAACCAACCCAAATGTCCATCAATGGTAGACTGGATTAAGAAAATGTGACACATATACACCATGGAATACTATGCAGCCATAAATAGGATGAGTTTGTGTCCTTTGTAGGGACGTGGATGAAGATGGAAACCATCATTCTTAGCAAACTATCGCAAAGATAAAAAATCAAACACTGCATGTTCTCACTCATAGGTGGGAATTGAACAATGAGAACACTTGGACACAGGAAGGGGAACATCACATGCCGGGGCCTGTTGTGGGGTGGGGGGAGGGGGGAGGGATAGCAGTTGGAGATATACGTAATGTAAATGATGAGTTAATAGGTGCAGCACACCAACATAGTGCATGTGTACATACGTAAAAAACTTGCACATTGTACACATGTACCCTAGAACTTAAAGTATAAAAAAGAAAGAATAAAGGAAATCAAATTTGCAGGAAAATAAAAAAAAAGAAAAACTAAATAAAAATGAACAAAGAAACAATAGAGAAAAATCGACGAGACCAAATTTGATTCTTTATAAATATCGATAAATTCATAAACTATAGACAGACTAACAAAGAAGAGAGAAGACACAACAAATTGCCAATATCAGTAGTGAAAGAGACATCATCACTACTGGGGTTACAGACATTAAGAGGGCAATTAAAGCTAACTATGACGAATTCAATGCCCACAAATTTGATAACCGAGATTAAATAGACCAATGACTTGAAGGACAAAAATACCAAACCTCACACAAAGAGAAGCAGATGTTAGGTGGCACCTAAAGAAAGCACCGAAATGTTTTATAGGCAAATTCTACCAAAAATTTAAGGAAAAACTAGAACTACTTTTCCACAGTTTCTTCTAGAAAATGGAAGCCGATGGAATACTTTCTAACATCATTCTCTGAGGCCAAGATAATCCTAACAAACCAAATAAGTGTTACAGGAAAGAACTACAGATAATATCTTTCCTGAACATAGGCATAAAAATTCTCAACAAATACTAGCAAATCAAATCCAACATTGTATTAAAAAATCATACAACACAGTGGGATTTGTTCTAGTTATGCAAGGCTAATTTAACATTAAAATACTAATCAATTTAATCAACCACAGAAACAAACAAAAAAAGTGTTCTAACCATATTAGTTGTAAAGAAAAATCACTGGACAAAAGACAACACTCATTTGTGATAAATACTCTCCATAAAGCAGGAATAAAGTGGAATTTGCCTAATTTGATAAAGAATTTCTACAGACAACCTATAGCTAACATCATACTTTGTGAGAAACTGGATGCTGTCCCCATAAGACTGTGAATAAGGCAAAGATGCAATCTCTCATTCCTCCTCTACAGCTCACTGGAAGTCCTGGCTAATGCATTAAAACAAGAAAAGAAAATCAGGCATAGAAATTGGAAAGAAAAAAGTACATTTGCCATTATTTTCAGATTATGTGATTTTTTTCTGCATGGAAAATCTCAAATAATTGGTAAAGAAAACCTTTTGGAACTAATAAGTGAACAAATAGCAAGGTTTCAGTATAAACAGCTAATACATAAAACTCAACTGTTCATTTCCAAAAAACAATTGGAATTTAAATTTTTTAGAAATAGTAGCATTTTCCATAACACCAAAAAATTTAAAAAACTATAAATTTTACAAAGCATATATAGGATCTTCAGGTGAAATACAAAATCTCTGATGAGAGAAATCAAAGATGTCAAGAAATGGGAAGATATTCTATGTTCATAAGTTGGAGACTTACTATTATCAAATTGTTAATTCTTGTCAACTTATTCTACAGTTTCAGCATAATTCCAACCAAAATTCCGGGAAGGCAATTTGTAGACAATGACAAATAGATTCTCAATTTGCATGGAAAGGCAAAAGACCTAGAATAGTTAACACAATACTGAAAAAGAAGAAGAAAGTTGGAAGGCTCGCATGACCTGATTTCAACTCTGACTATAAAATTAGTCAATGAGATAGTGTAGCAATGGTGAAAATAGACACATAGATCAAGGGAACAGAATAAAGAAGCAAGAAATAGGCTTATATAAATATGGTAAACTGATTTATGTAAAGAAACACAATTAATATCATGAAAAAGAGTAGTCTTTTCAACAAAAGGCACAGGGATAGTTGGAGATACATATTTTTTAAAAATGAGCCTAGACAAAGATCTCTCATTTTTCCCCAGAATTAACTAAAATGCATTTTTGCCCTAAATGTATATCAAAATTCTAACACTTGTAGACAAAAACATAGAAGAAATTTTACATTATTTTTGGTTTGGTGATGGGCTTTCAGATAAAATGCTAAAAGCATAATCCATGAAAGATAAACATTAGAGTGGAAAATATTCAAAGGAAAAATGTGTACTCTGTGAAACACAGTGATAAGATAATGAAAATTAAAGCCACAGAGTGGAAAAAAAATTCATAAATCACAGAATTTTTGAGACTCAATGATAAGACAAATAATCCAATTAAAAATGTGCAAATGACCTGAACAGACACCTCATCAAAAACATACACACATGGCAAGTAAGCAAAGGAAAAGATGTTCAACATCATTTGTCATTAGGGAATTAGATACTATTCACAACTACTAAAATGGTCAAAACAAAACAAAACTGTCAATCCTAATTGCTGGTGAGGACGCACAGAAGAGAATTCTCATTTCCTATTATGGGGAATTGTAATGGCACAACCACTTTGGAAAACAGTATAGCAATTTCTTACAAAGCTAAATATAGTCTTAACATGCAAACTAGCAATCTTACTCTTAGGTATTGATCCAGCTGACTTTAAAATTTATGCACACAAAAACGTACACACAAATGTAGTAGCTTTATTCAAAATCACTAAAAACTAGAAGCAGCAAAGCTGTCCTTCCATAGATAAATGGGTAACAATCTAGTACATCCATACAATGGAATATTATTCATCAATAAAAGAAAGAAAAGACAAAGATAAGTCTTGCCAACTGGACAAGAAACACACTGTACGAATCTAGTTACATGACATTCTAGAAAAAGCCAAATGAGAGAAAGAGTGAAGAGATCAGTGGTTGCCAGGTGCTTGAAGGAATAAGAGAAAAGTTGAATAAATTATGTACAGGGTATATTTTAGGGTGTGGAACTATTGTGTATGATGCAATAATGGTGGATAAAAGATATTACTCCTTTGTCAAAACCCACAGAAATTTAGAGCACAAACAGTGAAGCTCAATGCTTGCAAATTATTTTTAAAAACTTTAGGAAGTCAAAAAAAAAAAATCCTTGGATGGACTGCATGATGTGTTAAAGCAATTTAACTGTATTACGAGTGTATGAAACAATCTCCCTGAAACAGATAAGGAAAAAAGTTTCCATCCTAAGCATCTTTCCATCCTAAGATATTAGAGTTTGTAAGAAAAAGGCACAATAAATTGGACATAGCTCCACACTGTGTAGTTGATAAAATTATTTTACAGGAGGCCACAGGTTAACAAACCTGTTATTGCCATACACAAATACTGGAATTGAAAAATTAGGTAAGTGGATGGCAGGGGTTGGCAGTTAGGTTTCTCATGATTGGAGTGGAAAATTGCAGATGAGCAAAGGGAGGATATGGGAATTATTCATGAGGTAATGGGGTAGAGTTGAAGATACCAGTACAAACATTCAGTATAAATAGAAGCAGATGGCTATGTCTAAAAATACCTACAAATATCTGATGCTTCATGTGGGGGTTAAAATACACTATAGTTTTTGCTATGTCAACTGAGAGGGCCGAGAAGCAATGATACCCCAAATCTTGGTTTCTACGTTAAGTCTCTATAAAGTAAACTCTGGAGAAAGGGCTAGTTCTATGACTGGAACTAGAGATATGCAAGATGTGCTTAGAGTATCCTATAGAGCCAGGAAAAAAAAAAAAAAAAAGAATTTCTCAAAAACAAGCAAGCAAATGAGCAAACAAACAAAAAACACAATGATAGGATATGTCAAAGAGGTATAGAAGCCAACAAAAAGAACTCCCTGTGCCCTAAGCTGGAAGAAGCTAAGCAACAAACATAGTACTATCAGATTCTAATCCAGAGTATAAAATAAGCATCAGTGAGTCCATACCAATGACTGATGAATAAGTAAATGGGCAGAGTGGAGAAGTCTTCCATGCAGAGGAATTCCAAATAATCTATGTATATGCTCCACCTCTAAGGTATGACACCTCACTCTGTAAGTGTGGGCTTTATGTAGTGACTTCCTTCTGGAGAGTGCAGTAAGAAAAAAGGGGGAAAAGAGTAACTTCACAGTGGAAAAACCTAAGAAACATTTCCTCAGCCAGGAGACCAAGGTCAACACTAGCAGTGACAAGTCACGTGGGTAGTATGGCCCCCGCATGAGATATGATAAAAATAGAACTTTATCTCCATGGCCTTTCTTCTCAAGTTCCATAACCTCGATCTAATTGTGAAAAAAAAAATCAAACACATTTCACTTGTAAAGGAAATTCAACCAAATACCAGACTAAAACTTCTCAAAACTCGTCAGGTTATTGAAAACAAGATATGCCTGAGAAACTGTCACAGCCAAGAGGCAACTAAAGAGACAAGACTATTAGATGTCATGTATTCAAGACACAATCCTGGAATATAAAAGGGAAATTAAGCAAACAACAAAGGCATTCTTGATAAGGTAGGCACTGTACTTAATAATGATGTATCAGTAGTGTTTCATTAATTTTAATGTAAGATGTTAATAATAGAGAACACTGGTTTGGGAACTCTGTGTACTACCATCACAATTTTTTTGTAAATCTAAAACATGCCTTATTTTTGAATGAAGAGGAAGTCACTGAAGGATGGATGCTTACCCTAAAAAAATAGAGGTAACATGGAAGAGATAAGCAAGACAAAAGCAATTCTACTTTAAATATTTAATCCCCTGAGTAGAAAAAGACTCATGGGGCTGGGCACGGTGGCTCACGCCGGTAATGCCAGCACTTTGGGAGGCTGAGGTGGGGGGATCACCTGAGGTCAGAAGTTCGAGACCAGCCTGGTCAACATGGAAAAACTCTGTCTCTACTAAAAATGCAAAAATTAGCCGGGCGTGGTAGTGGGCGCCTGTAATCCCTGCTACTCGGGAGGCTGAGGCAGGAGATTCGCTTGAACCCAGGAGGCGAAGGTTGCAGTGAGCAGAGATCACACCATTGCACTCCAGCCTGGGCAACAGAGCGAGACTCAGTGTCAAAAACGAACAAACAAAAGAAAAAACTTTATCACTTTGTGTTCGCTGGGCTAGAACAGTCATTAATGCACCTCTAATTTTTCTTTGTCTTAAGGGTTCCTACATAATCCGATTATCACCGTCATGAGGGCCATCATGAGGGTCACCTTTGCTGTGAGGGTGTTGATGATGGCCCTCCTATAATGCTTATGTGGGTCAGGCACTAGTCTCAAGGATTTATCCCATTAATTCCAGGTATCCCTTCAAACACCCTAAGAGGTATATTCCGTGATGAAATTGAGACACAGAAAGACTAAGTTACTTTCCGTAGATTACAGTCAGGTAGTGATGGAACCAGGCTTCAACTGTCCAGTTCTAGAAGGCAAGCATATATCCACCATGCAATTCTGCTTTTGATGGGCAGCCTGACCCCAAAATAACAATATTCTGACCTTTAGGGAAGCAAAGGATCTGCCAGTTGTTGAGTATATTATGGGACTGTCTGGGAAAGGTGTATTTCATTTTTGTGCTGTAGCAATGAACAAACAATAATTTTTTGAAATGGATCAATTACTAGAACACAAGAGGGCTTTTGTTACACATGGACCACTTCTAAATGTCATCTCATCTACTTAGCACTAAAGCATCAGGCATGGAAATGGTAGAGAATCGGGCTGGGCCTGCTCCTTACAATGACTCCGTCACCCGAAAAACATATGTTTGGCAGTTGAGGGAATACATTACTTCAAAGGAAATAGTAAAAGGCAAAGGAAAAAAAGGCAAACGTGTGTTCTCCAATTATTTACTTGTAACACATGTTAAATGATTGTAATATGTTTGTTTGCATGTTTCGTTACTAGGAACTTTTACCTTATCTCCAAAGAAGAGAAGACAGCCAAGTCACAACATGTCTTGACTCTTTCTAAGTAAGTCATTTATGAGCAGTGGGTGTAATGCTGACTCTGACTCTATTAGCAGCAAATCCTGGCTACTTAATACTGAGAAATAGCTTCCAGACACTTAATAACTAGCAGACTGGTTCTACTTAAAATGACTTTGTGAGCAATACTTGTTAACTCTGCTTGTCAGGGTTCTTCAGAATGGGCAGGCCATCCTCCTAGACCAGCAATTAGTCACTCTAGAGAAGGTTTGTCTCATCACTCCAATCCCAAAAACATGTTCGTCAATTTTGAATGAACCAATGTTCTACACTGACCCAAGAAACTGCTGAAAAACGATTTTATGCTATTATGAGTTAGGACAGTACAAAAGACAGAATTTGAATTTTGAAGTAAGAATGTAAAATGTGACTCTGACACTTGCTAATTGAGTGACTAATTCTTTCTTTCCCATGCATTTCAGTTGTCTTATCAAAAAATTTGAGAAGATAACCCATACTCTACAGGATGATGTGAGAGTTGAAGTAAACATGTGTTGGAATATTCAGTCATTATAACAACATACTCAGTAGAGCAGAATCGAGTTGTATTTATTCATTTACTGCTTTCTGCACCATACCTCCATGATAATGAGATGGAATTAGATCTAGTTGAATCTCAATAGTAGGATTTCACAGTAGTCCTTAGAACCAGCATTTGAGGAAGTAAGGCTTGTTGCCATGTGACAGAGAAACCTAACCAATTTGTTAGCCATCTGGAAACCGTTTTCTCTTATTCTAAGTAGATGCACAACCCCCTTCCTTTGGCTGAAATGTGAAAGAGAGTAAGCAGTTAGATTGGAGTGGCTACCTGAAGTAGGAATGAGACTTGTTGGAAGAGTCACAAAAAGTTGGCAAGATAATCAAAAGCCAGAACAAACAATGTCCTAAGTGAAATGAGAGATCATTTGGATATATACAGAATCATGAGCACTGCTGATATCTACTGAACTCTTGGTAGCTTGTTCCTTGTTTGACTTCTTACATGTAATCCTCACAACTACTCTATGTTAGGCAATCACAATTTTTATTTTTCAGATCAGGAAAATGGAGCACTGCAAGATGCAACCGCGTGTCCAAGTTCGTATCTCCAGTGAGGACCACATCTCATTTCTGCCCAGAGAAGGATCCTGGGTCCTAAACCACGATGCTCTCCTGCCCCTCACATCTGGGTAGACTCTGAGCATCCTGAGGACAATGCAGATGGTTGATTCAGATTTGCTTTGCTGTAGCTCAGCAGCCCAGACTGCCAAATCATAAATATTTCTTAGATGAATGCTGTCTAGGTTGTAACTGTTTGACCCAGGAAATGTCATGATGAAATGGGTGCTTGGGGAGCATTAGTCTGATAGAATGCAGGTTGGTTGGACCAGAAGTGTGGGAGTTGAGATGAGAACTAGAAAGATGTCTTAGGAAACTATTACAGTGCACTGATGTGAGGATAGCTGAGGCAGCCTGAGAGCTTAACTCTCATTTTCCATTGCATATAACACAACTTGACGAAGTCATAGAAACAACTGTATTGCACCAGTTTTCACAATCATTGTCCACTTTCCATACCTCACCTTTTTCTCTGTGGCGATGGAGACTTCTGCCTCAACAGCAAGGTTCCTCAGTGGTAGAAATTTATTGCAGGAGCCATCCAAATTGTCACAGAAAGGTGCCTTTAGTGACTAAAGAAGACCACATCCATATTAAATATCCTACAACTTCAAGGTACATCTGCATAAGTTACCAAGTTTAGGCTCATTCTTACACAAGTAAGAGTTTCACTGTGGCTCTCCAAATACGATTACTAGCGTTGTTTTCCAGAATCAACAAAAGGATGTGACTATGGTGGTTCTTTCCACTTGAGGCCTTAAAAAAATGCATGTCCATTCATTTGTTCAGCTTCTATTTCTCATGTACCTACTACATACCTGGCATTCTCCTTGATTCTAGGAGCAAAACGAGGTCCTTGCTCTTTAGAAACCTACATGGTAGAGCGATAAATAAACAATCAAGGAATAATCTATCCATATTGCTCCTTGTTATAAGTCTTCCAATTGTTTGTCATTTTACTTAGGAAGAAATCTAAATTCATCAGCATGGCATAGAAGGTCCACCAAGATCTCATGCCTGCCTCCTTTTGTTGTCCCCTAGTCTATCTCCTCCTCTGGAATTCAATTCCCAAGTCATGCTGAAAGACACATGTTTCCCCAAATGTTTCATATCTCTTCTGAAATGTTCTGTGTTTTTGTCACTCCCAGGACTTGGAGCAGATTCCTCCCCCTTCATTGTTCACCAGCTGCTCATCTTCTGACACTCAGCCTAAATGGCCAACCCTTCTCTGGGAAGACTCTGTAAAGGCCCCAGCACCCATTCCATGTGACTACTTCCCCTTTCTCTGCCATAATGGTTGTGACAGCGTCTTATAATCACCTCATTTGAGAATGAGGATTTTATTGTTTATTTCTGTGAACTCCCAATGACTTGAACATAATGGTATCTCCTCAATATATTTCAACTGAAGGAAAGAAGGAGGGGAAGGATGAAGAGAGGGAGGAAAGAATGGGGGGAGAGATAGAGAAAGGGAGTAGGTCAGGTCTTTGTCATTAGTTTATACTATGATTAAATCCTCCTCTTCCCTGTGGGGCAGTTCTGTCCTTATTCCAGGGACAACCAAACAGGAGGTAATGAGCACCTGACCTCAGTTTATGGTGGTAGTAGCAGAGAGAGACAATATGGAAAAAATCAGAATGGGATAATCAACAATAGCTGGTGATAGGTTCAACAATTAAATAAAAGGAAACAGTAGTTTCCTTGTCTTGTGACTAGAAAAGACAGAGACTAAAGAGTAGAAGCCATATCTTTTCATGTCTATTAGTGAGAGTTGGGTGCTTGGGTTTTCTCATTTAAATCAAAGTATTCAGGAAAACATAAAACATGCATTATTTTAGAGCCACACATGAAAGCTTTAACATACATACATAAGAATAATCACTATGTTAAATTAAGTTACAAATGTATAGACCATCCAAAAGCTTCCCTGCCAAGATTCAACTGAGAGTGTATTTAATAGAAATCACATCTGGTCTGATGCGGTAAACTCCTTGCCTGTGATTCACTCCTCTTGATGAACAACTCTTGAAGCCTATCTTCAGATTCAGGGATAACCTCCAGCTCAAAGTCTGAATTTTCTTTGGAAGTATGTTCAAGGTTTTGAGCAATCCATCATGTTGTTATCAGATTAGAAATGAAACAAAAGGAAACAACTATGCAAGAAAAATAGTCAGGATCTGTTCTATGAGAGTCAAGTCAGGGTTCATGAAGCCACTGTGATCATACTCTAGGGCAAGCTTGTCCAACGTGCAGTCCACGGGCCATACATGGTCCCAAACGACTTTGAATGCTGCTCAACACAAATTTCTAAACCTTCTTTAAACATTATGAGATTTAGGGGGGATTTTTTTTCAATTCGTTGGCCATCATTAGTGTTAAGTATTTTATATGTGGCCCGAGATGATTATTCTTCCAACGTGGCCCAGGAAAGCCTAAAGATTGGACACCCCTACCTAGAGATGTAAGACAAGAGATCTGGGAAATATGAAAGCATTGGTGGGTGGCAGACTTGCTGGAGACTTACTTGAGGAAAAACTAGTGCCTGATCAAGAAGCTGCAATTCACAAAGAAACTGGAGCATGCGTTTGTTTTCATGGAACTGGACACGATGGGAATGACTGCTTAAGTAACTGAGACATTTCACAAATGGGACAGTTTCACCCTGAGGGAAATCTTTTAGATTATGTTATTGCCAATACTAAGGCATTCCAAATAGAATAATTCTAGGTTCCCAGAGGGTTCCAATTTTGTTTGAGGATTGCTGTTAAAATTACAGTCCCAGAACACTCCTGAGGCCTTCCTAGGTTAAGAAAATGGACGTCTATTCCAAGAGTCTCCTCTTTATCAGGGGATGATTCTTACTAACTTCTGCCACTCTATAATATACCCATCCCATTATTAAGTTGACATATATTTCCTCAGCTTATATTGATGTGCAACTGGGCCTATAACCCTCAAAACACTTGGGAGTCTCCGAGCCCCCCTCACCCTTCTCTTACTGTTTTGTCTGGCTTTGTTCCGTTTGCTTCCTCTATTTGTAATAACTTGTATTATTAGAGCGCCTTTGAGTTTACAATGCTTTCAAATACATTATCTCATCTGGCCTAAGGATTTGGCACTGTTGCTAGGCACAAGCAAGCATCTGGGATCTCTGATTTACAAGTCTATCATTAACTCATCATCAAACAGTCACTGAACAGCTACTGTAGGTCAACCACTACATTGGGTTTGGTGTGACCTGTGGGAAGTTGGAGAAAAAAAAAACAAAACAAAAAATGGTATTATGATAATATTAGCTTCAACAAATTTTAAATTAAAGAACTAAAATGGCTATGAAAACTCAAGTTTCAAAAAATACTAGTGTTGTCTGAAATTTCACCCCGACTGTCTTCTGTCATTTCTCTACACAGAAAATACATAATTTTCTCATAATATCTGCTCATTTAGTGGTAGTCAAATGCAAATCAGGCTGGGCACATGGGCTTATGCCTGTAATTCCAGCACTTTGGGAGGTCAAGGTGGGTGGATCACTTGAGGTCAGGAGTTCAAGACCAGCCTCGCCAACATGATGAAACCCCATCTCTACTAAAAATACACAAAAAAAAAAGCCGGGCATGGTAGCATGCCCCTGTAGTCCCAGCTACTCAGGAAGCTGAGGCAGGAGAATCTCTTGAACCCAGGAGGTGGAGGCTGCAGTGAGCTGAGGTTGCACCACTGCACTCCAGCCTGGCAGACAGAGCAAGACTCTGTCACAAAATAAAATAAAATGAAATAAAATAAAATAAAGCAAATCAATCTTTCTAAAATAGTTTAAATGAAATCTAGATCTCCAAAATTGTACTCACTAAAAAAAGAAATCCATAGATAATTTGACCATAATACTCACTTTAATAATAGTTCTTCAGGAAAAATGATAAATATGAAATGCGTGGATTGAGTATAACTTGGGCTTACCAGCTTCAGAAATGTAAAAAATGTAGACATGGGCCTTAGAATTAAATGCAGGTCACATATACCTAATCTTCCACTTCCTCAGAAGGGATGTCCTACATGGCTGCAAATCACACTTTGAGATACTAAAAATTAATATTATTAAGAGTCATTTAGAAATGTTAAATTATAAATTGTCAAAATTCTAAATATTTCTATTAGAAACAACATTTGCTGTTCAATTAGAAGTTTTAAGCTGGATACTTCGTGAAATTTTTAGTTTGGGGCACCCATCTAGCCCAGAACGGAAGTAATTTTTCATTCCGAACACAAAGTCATTCACGAGTCTTCAGACAAAGTTGGCTTCAAAATCATGTAAGATATTTTAGCCAATTAACTTTCACTATAAAATTTATGAGGAGCTTGTCCAACACTAGTATTTATACCAATAGTTACAAGTCAAAAAGAAATAACTTCTCTAGCGTTTTCTTCCAGAAGCCAACTAAAATGCATGAAATAGTTTGATAATAGACTATTTCAACCTCTATTATATTAAACTACTTGACTAAGAGTATTTAACCTACAGCTTTCATAAATTGCCAACAAATAAAAAGAAAACAACAAAAACAAATGTAAAGGAACAATGTCAGGTGATACTAGAAAATATCCCAGGAAGCAGCAACTAGAATAGGGTCTGGTAGTTAATTTTCAGCTACTCAGAGTATATTGGTTACTTATAAGAACTAATTTGTAACCACTGTTGAAGTGTGCTTTTTATGCTAATGAGGAAAATTATGTTTTTGCAATGAACTTGGACCATTTGCGTGGGAAAATACGCTTACTTCCATCTCACACTAATGGGAGTTTCTCATTCATCCTGGGTTCCTCATCAAAGTAGGTTTTCCTGAGTTGGAGATAATGCCTCTAGTAGAAAGTCTGTGGGTCACACCTGAGTGCATTCTTGTGGATGCTACTTATGAGAGTTGTAAATCCAGGCAGGTATTTTAACTCTCTGAGAACATTTCAAATGGGCTTCCTGCTGGTACCTACACCCAAACCTATCCCTATCCTATGTGGAATTCGATGCCTACATTTATTCTTATATCTACACCTTTACCTATATCTCTACCTATACTACACCTATAACTATATTTATATTTACACCTACACTTATCCCAAATACACCTGTTTCTACACGTATACCTACACTTATGATGACATCTACACACACTCCTACACCTATATCTATACCTACACCCATACTTATACCTCCAACTACACTTTTGTCTATACCTACACCTACATCTATACATATACCTCCAACTACATTTATGTCTATATCTATACCTACACCTATACATATAACTCCAACTACACTTATGTCTATACCTATACCTACACCTATACATCTACTTCCAACTATACTATGTCTATACCTATACCTACACCTATACATACACCTATATCTATACTTACACCTATACCTATACCTCCAACTACACGTATGTCTATACTTATACCTACACCTATACATACACCTATATCTATACTTACACCTATACCTATACCTCCAACTACACTTATGTCTATACCTATACCTACACCTATACATCTACTTCCAACTATACTATGTCTATATACATACACCTATATCTATACACCTATACCTATACCTCCAACTAGTATACTATACACATATAATACATATTATACTTACACCTATACCTATACCTCCAACTACACGTATGTCTATACCTATACCTACACTATACACTACTCAACTATACTATGTCTAACTACCTACACCTATACATACACCTATATCTATACTTACACCTATACCTATACTCACTACACTATGTCTATACTATACTACACCTATACATACACCTATATCTATACTTACACCTATACCTATACCTCCAACTACACTTATGTCTATACCTATACCTACACCTATACATCTACTTCCAACTATACTAT